GAAAAGGAAATGTTTAATGGCGCAAAGAGGCTGTTAAATCTAATGTACATTTTCAAAAAAAGTCAAGCCTGTCAGTTGCTGAGCAGCAGAAGGAAAACAGCAGCCTTAATGAAGGTAACGGGGCCTGCTGGATTTGTAAATAAGATGGTGTGCCCTCAGCCAATTGCTCTGCATGGCGGGTGGGAAAGTCCCCCTGGGCCAGCTGCAGACTGGTCGGCATCCAAAACCCTGCCTCGGGCGAGCATATTTCCTGGCCACGCCAGGCTGCTCTCTTGGAGGGTGGAGGGATCTGGAGGAGAGGCCCTCCAGGCTGAAAATGGAGGCCTATTTCCTCTTTCTTCATCAGAAAGGTGCTTTTTCTAAAATATGCTAAATATGCTCCTAAAAGGAAACCTTTTCCTTTAGACTAGGTTTGGTTAGTTTCCTTTTTTTTTAAATCCTGCAGAAACAAAACATTTTATTTAACCACAGCATATTAGGTCCCCTAAGCCATTTAAACCCTGCCACCCTAATGATGTAAATATAGCACAGTATTTATTTACTGCCCTTATTTTGTTTTTGTTAGTTGCAAAATCATGTCCGACCCATCGCAACCCCATGGACAATGTTCCTCCAGGCCTTCCTTTTCCTCTACCATCCTCTGGAGTCCATTTAAGCTCACGCCTACTGCTTCAGTGACTCCATCCAGCCACCTCATTCTCTGGCGTCCCGTGCTTCTTTTGCCCTCAATCATTCCCAGCATTGGGCTCTTCTCCAGTGAGTCCTTCCTTCTCATTAGGTAGCCAAAGTATTTCAGTTTCATCTTCAGGATCTGGCCGCCTAAAGAGCAATCAGGGTTGATCTCCTCTAGGACTGACCGGTTTGATCGCCTTGCAGTCCAAGAGACTCGCAGGAATCTTCTCCAGCACCATAGTTCAAAGGCCTCAATTCTTTGGCGCTCAGCCTTCCTTATGGTCCAACTTTCACAGCCATCCATTGCAACTGGGAAAACCATCGTCTTGACTATACGCACTTTTGTTGGCAGGGTGATGTCTCTGCTTTTTAGTAGGCTGTCTACATTTCCTCCCCAGGAGCAAGCATCTTTTAATTTCTTGGCTGCAATCCCCATCTGTGGTGATCTTGGAGCCCAGGAAAATAAAATATGTCACTACCTCCATTTCCTCCCCATCTATTTTCCAGGAATTGAGAGTGCTGGATGCCATGATCTTAGTTTTCTTAATGTTGAGTTTTAAGCCAACTTTTGCACTCTCCTTCTTCACCCGCATCAAGAATGTCTTGCTCTTATTTAAACTGATTTTAAAAATTGGAGATTACCTGATGTTTGCCAAACTCAGGTTGAAAAGTGCACAATAAACAAACAATATAAACCAATATTCTTTATTTGAATAAAATTTCAATTTTGGGCCAAGAGCAAATTAAAACTAGCAAAACATGCATATTACTTGAAGTGATGGGCTGAAAGAACTATTTCATTTCCACTAATAAAAATTAAGAAAAGTGTATTTTTCCCCCATCTGACCTAGAGAGATGATCAGAACCAAGAAAGGAGGTTAAAAGTAGATATCAGATTTCCTGAATGTAACAGAATAACAAAGTTGGAAGGGACCATAGAGGCCCTCTAGTCCAACCCCCTGCTCAAGGAGACCCTATACCATTACAGACAAGTAACTATCCGGTCTTTGTTGCTCTTCTCTGCACTCTGTCCAGAGTCTCAACTTTTTTTATATATATTGTGGTGACCCAAACTGGATGCAATTCTCCAGGCATGGACTTTCCAAAGCATTATAAAGCAATACTATACTTCATGTGACCCTGACACTATTCCTCTGTTAGAATCTAAGCACTAGCCAGTGGGATAGGTTCCAGATGAGGGGGCAGAGGTGCTCATCCCTCAAATACTCCTTTGGGTCCTGCACTAGATCAGGATTCGATGCCCTCTGTGGCCCTTCCAATTGTTGGAAGAAATGTCCATCTGAGTTCAGTTCCAAGTGGGGAGAAAGACACTGGAAACATGGAGACTGTGAGAGCCCTCACAAAGGTCGATGGTTCGTTGAGGCACTTCCAAGAAAAAGGCAGCACGCAGGGATGCAATCAGTTGAAGCTTTATTTAAAGATAAAGTAGAGAAAATGAGTTCCCTGGCATGGAGGCATCCATGCCTGGATTGAGCCCATGGATCAGTCCCGTAGGGAGCTAGAGCAAGAGCCAAAAAGCAAGCTGGCAGCCCCTGCGCAGGGGTTCTTATGGGGGCCCCCGACCCCTCCCTTACCAATGGGTGTGAGGGGGCTGGAGGGCCATTAACCTTCCCCCAATGTGGCTGCAGGGGCCAGAGCCCCCTGACCCACCAGTGGGATCAAAAGTGCCTCTTTGCTCCCATCTGGTGGCCTTTTAAGAAATTGCCATGGCTGGCACAAAAACATCTAACAGAGACTGCTTGAAAAGATGGTTTAATGGTGGACAGGACCACATGATTTTGAGGTCCTGGGCAAAAAAGCACATGGGAGGGGAGAGAGGGAGGGAGGGAGGGAGGAGTAGATAGCGGGGTTTTTGTAGTCAAAACAAAATGTTTTTCCTGTGGGAACCAAGGACATTCCAACAGCTGGGGAGAAGAGGAGAGGAGTAACCAAGCAACCAGTCAGCACCTCTATTGGACAATGTGACTGATGACTTGGGGGGAAAGGGGAAACTTTTACTTTTAATCAGGTGAAAACCGCGGGAAGTGTCAGAGTCAGTTTTCCCCAGTTGTGTCAATATGATGTATCCAATAAATTATTCTTTGAGGAATCTACCTGCCTTGGAGTTCTGCTTTCTATAGGTGCATTACCGTATTTTCCAGCATATAAGACGACTGGGCATATAAGACGACCCCCGACTTTTCCTGTTAAAATATAGGGTTTGGGCTATACTCGCCGTATAAGACTACCCCTCTTCCAACGCACACCAAATAAAAATTAAAAAACATCAATTGGCTCACCCACAATGTAAAAGCAGCTGTGCTAGACTCAAAATGGCCCCTGCAACAAGCAGGAACCTCACACAGCCACAAAAAGCCCAAAAAACCAACTTTCACACTTTCCACACCCAAAATTCCACATACAGCTTTGTGAGATTTTGTGTATTTGTGTAGTTAGAGTGAAACACTACAGAAACACACTAAATCTCAGAAAGCTGCACAAATATTATTTTATTTTATTTTTATTTTTATATGAAAGCTAAATTTAAAACTTCCTAAACTTTAAATGGCTAGGTCTAAAAAAGAACAACTAAAAAAAACCCCAATTAACTATTTTTTTTAAAGCTCCCAAAGGGGGAAAAAACTTACCCAATAGAACAGGGGTGTCCAACCTTGCAACTTTAAGACTTGTAGACTTCAACTCCCAGAATTCCTCAGCCAGCTTTGCTGACTGTGGAATTCTGGGAGTTGAAGTCCACAACTCCCTGCCTGCTTGATTGCAGGCAGGGAGTTGCTTGCTGATGGAATGGATTCAGGCAAGCGAAGCAAGGCAAGCATTGCGACTAGCAGCTAAGGTAAGCAAGCTGGAAGGGGAAAGCTTTTTTCCTTTTACATAGCTCTGGCGATCCAAGCTGAGTTGCCTAATTAGCAGGCAACTCAGCTGGGATGGTCAGAGCTTGGATCGCCAGAGCCATTTAAGGCTCATCAGAGCCTTTCGGGCTGGTCTGCCTGGTTACAGGAGAACGACACCCGGCGTATAAGACGACCCCCGACTTTTGAGAAGATTTCCATGTGTTAAAGAGCCGTCTTATACACCGGAAAATACGATACTTTGAATGCTGACACATGCATTGTGGGACATGGCAGAAGAGGTTGCTTGGCATATTTGTACCATGGTCAGGTGCAAGGGGCAAAGGGTTCTCTACAGCTCATGACACGATCAGTAGTGTGTTCTAATAGACTTCCCTTATGAGGCTGGTGTAGGAGGCACAGGGTTTCCACCCTCAACTGCAGGAGCAGCCCCCTGACTAGGGGGCTCCTTCTCCACAACTGACAGAGGCCCATTGTGCCACTTTAATTAGTTATGGAGTATCAGTATGGAGCAGTTGGCCTGTTTTTGGATGCAATTTGCTGGTTCAGGAGCAATAAATGGAGACCACATCCTGAGACAACAGAGGTGTTGTAGACTCATGACCTGCAGGTGCATGTATTGGGTAAGTGTAGGAGAAGAACTAGCAGAGACAGGGTGTCAGCCTCAGCTTTGCCTGCTTCAGCTGCCATAAGAAACGGGGGGAGGGACCAGTTAAGGGGGCGAAGGGGGGGAAGATTGCAGGAGGCGTCTTTCCAATGCAGGAGGTGTCTTTCCAAGAAACGAAACTGAATCTCCAAAGGGGCCGGCTGACCAACTGCCCTACATTCCTGATGAATGATGTTGCCAGACGTGATGCCACCTGACCTTTGGGAGACCTTTGGATTGGATGATGGTCAATGGACACGGGGGTGGGTGGGTGGGCGGGGAGAAGCTTACTAGATGCTATTTCGCGCGTTTTGCTCACTTCCAGCTTTTCCTGGGTTGCAATCATTTCATATTCAGTAAAAGTACTAATCTCTTTTAAAATATTGAGTTTGGGTTTTTCTTTCCTGGATATTGAAGGAAGCACACCTGACACAGGGAGAGGAGTTAAAAGAGGGATCAGTCTAGATTAATCTCTATGGAAACACAAGCTGACTAAATCCAACCCTTCCTTGAATTCCCTTGACTCTTATCTAACTATAACCAGATGCTGACCATTAGTTGAGAAGATTCCTATGCAAAGCTTTTAACAGTTTAAATAGTTTAAACTGAATCTTCAGGAGTGGATCTGGTCCTTCACACCTGAAAGGAAGTCTTAGACTTGGATGTTAATGCTGGATGGATCTAACCCAATAACTCACAGGAGACAATGGTATCTCTTCATTGATTCTTTATTCTAGGCCTGGAGTCCTCCTAGGCCCAATTCAGGGTAAAGGTCACTGACCTCTGTCTTGTCTTTGCAGGCACACATCTGGACTGCTGGATGCCCATGTGTAGGACCCTTTTATATACCAGGGGAGGAGTCTGAGGTAAGGGGGTATGATGGGATATGGGGAGGTGCCAGCCCCTGCCTGGGAGAATTAGACATTTATCCTGACAAATCCCCCTCTAAATGTCTAATTAATGGCGGACATATGATATCTGTGAACATACATGTTAGGTACACCAGCTTCTGTTTTCCCATATACCAATGTATAGGGGAATTGTTTAAGAAGACTACGTATCCAGAAGTGCTTTTTCTGCTTTTGGCATCCCCGGCCCAGTCAGCGTCTGCATAGCAGGTTAACTTGGGTTTCTTAGACAGGTCTGATTCGAGGCACAGCTGGGCATTGGCACTGTGTTTCAGGTACCTGAGCAGTCTTTTTATGACATCCCAGTGCAGGACAGTGGGTTTGCTCACGTGTCTGGACAGTAGATTGACGGCCAGAGCGATGTCAGGCCTCGTCCAGTTGGCGATGTAGAGTAGCGAGCCTATTGTTGACCTATATAGCTTGTTGTCAACGAAGGGTTCAGCTTCATTGTACATGCTCCTTATGAAGTCCGGTTGCATGGGTGTCTCGCAGGGTTTTGCCCCTGACATGTTGCATTTGGATAACAGTTCCATGATTTTCTCTCTTTGTGAGATCCGGAAGCCCTTGTCAGTTTTAATCACTTGCACCCCTAGGTACTTGTCTATCTTCCCTAGTGACTTCAGAGAGAAATGATTTCCTAACTCGGTGGCAAATTTATCGCATTTGGCCCTTTGCTTCCCTATGTACAATATATCATCCACATACACAAGAATACCTTCGAATGCTCCTCCCTCTCTCTTTGTGAAAAAACATTTGTCTGCAGAGGTGGCTTTGAAGCCCATGGTGTTGAGAGCTTTGGCTAGACAGTCGTACCACCTCTTGCCAGACTGTTTGAGTCCATATAAACTTTTGTTCAGGAGCCATGTGTTGTCCTTTCCATCGTTGTATCCTGGTGGGGCCTTAACATAGATCTCCTTATCCAATTCTGCGTGTAGATATGCGGTTTGCACGTCGAATTGGAATACTTCCAGCCCTAGGATGGTGGCAATTACTAGGGCGCTCTTAACACTCTCAGCCCTGATTGTGGGGGAGTAGGTGTCCATGTAGTCTTCCGGGTACCTTTGGGCGAAGCCTTGTTTGTTTGTTTTGTTTTATTTGATTTGTATACCGCCCTACTCCCGAAGGACTCAGGGCAGTGAACAGCCAAACAATAAAATAACATAGATACAAAAAATTTAAAAAACCAGATAAAATCAAATTAAATCATTTTGGCCCAGACAAAAATTGTGTGACCAACCTCGCTTTGTAGAGCGTTTTATTGTCTTCGAGTGTTTTGACTTTGAACACCCACTTGGTCCCAATTGGCTTTTTGTTCTCAGATGCTTGAGCTGGCGAGTATACATGTAGTTCTCGGAGGCTCTCCATCTCCTTTTCCATGGCTTGCTTCCACCTTTCCCTCTCTTCCTGGGGGAGGCCGAGTATCTCTTCGTAGGAACTGGGTGTGAAATGCTCTCTGTGTATGGACATGACGTAGTCCTCTAGTCTCTTTGGTAACTTGTTCCTACTGGATCTAGTTGGTCTGTCTGGAGGCGTATCTGCTTCATGCAGGCATTCAGCTTCTTTTTCGGTGAGGCTATCTAGGTTCAGTGTGGGGTGTCCTTCTTTCCATTCCTCGGCTTTCAGTTCTTGGTGTTTGGGTCTGTCTGTTTCAGTTTCCTCTGGCCCCCTGGTGGTCAGTTCTTTGTCGCTTTGGTTATGTGGTTGCATGTCTCTTCCAAGAAAAATGTCATTGCAGTGGAGCTTTGACCAATTTGAGTGCTCATGGAATTCCGCAGACCTGGACACAATGAATTTGTTATTGCAGTCCACAAATCTGAATCCCTTTGTTCCAGGCTCATAGCCCACGAACCTTAGTCTTTTTGACACCTTTTCTCCCTTCTTTCTTAGCTGTCGGGGAATGTGGACGTCAGCTGGGGCACCAAATACGTGTAGGTGGGCTAGGTTGGGTTTTCTATTGTACATTAGTTCATATGGGGTTTTATTGATTGAGCTTGACCACAACCTGTTTAGTGTGTAATTTGAATAGTGTAGTGCCTCTGACCAGAATGATTGGCTCATTCCAGCGTCCTCCAAAACACACCTCATCATTGTTTGGAGCAATCCGTTTTTTCATTCTGAGACCCCATTCTGGAATGGGGAAAAAGGGGTGGAGCTAAAATGCAATATGCCCCTCTCCCTTAACCATTTTGCAAGGTCCTTGGCCATGAATTCTGTGCCCCGGTCAGTCACTATCTGTTTGATTTTTGCCCCATGTTGTAGTTCCACCCTTTTATAAAAGTCTTTGAACCTTTGGAATGTCTCATTTTTATGCTTGAGAGAGTACACATAGCCATACCTGCTGTAGTCATCTACTATGGTTAAGAAAAACCTTTTCCTGTGTCCAGTGGAAGGTCTCAGTGGTCCCACTAAATCCATGTGTACTAGCTGAAATGGGTGGTCAGTTGTGCGCTCTGACCTTTTGTGCCTCGCTTTGACCTTAATTTTTGAAGATTTACACACTGAACACTCCAAATAATTTTTGCAGTCCTTTATTTTCAAACCCTCTGTACATCCTAGCATTTTTTCTACAACCGGGAAACTGATATGTCCTAGTCTTCTGTGAAGGAGGTGGGCACAATTGTCGTGGATGGGTTTTCCCATGGATACCTTGTTTTTGCCTGGTGACACAGTGTTTGTTTCCTCCTGGGGTCCCCCTCTAGTTTCAGTGTCTTCCCCTGGTCATGGGTGATGCTTGTGTTTATACTTCCCTCGCTGTTCTCACTGGGTGTAAAGTACGGTAATCCATCATGTGTGTTTACCTTGCCAACCCTTTTTCCTTGGTTGAGTATCTGTACCCTGCCTTCCTTGAATGTTACCTCTGTGTCTGTGTCTGTTGTGAGCTTTGTGATGGCTAAGACATTGTGGAGTATTTCTGGCACATACAGTACCCCCTCTATTTTCCCAACCCCTGGTATATGTACATTCCCTCTTCCTATGACCTTGGCTGTGCTCTGGTTAGCCATTCTGATCTTGAAGTCTGTCTCTACGAGAGAGGTGAATAGATTGGGGTTGTGTGTTGTATGATTAGTGGCTCCTGAATCCAGAAGCCACATGTTCTCATCTGTCCCCTGCTTGGGGTCTGCTTTACCATGCCTGAAGCCATACATGGTCCCTGGGTTGCTATCTCTGGGAGCATCCCTGCGTTCACTGCTTTTTCTAGGGTTGGGTGACCACCCACGTCCCCGTTCCCTGAAATGTCTGCGGTCTGGTGACCGTCTCTCTCTATATCCTCTGTCCCTATCACCTCTGGGGCAATCCCTCCTTAAATGATTCCTGGACCCACAGGAAAAACACTCTGGGGCAACCTTTCCCCTGTCCTGGAACTCAACCCTTTTGGTGTGTCTGGGGTCCCTTCTTGACATGTGGCAGTCCCTCCTTAAATTATCCTCTGCAATAAGGCAGTTAGTGAGTGTGTCTAATGTTAAGTGTTCTAGACTGAGGCTGTCCAATTGCATCACAAAGTTGTCCCAGCTACTGTCTAAGCTACTGTCCCAGCTACTGTCCCAGCTAATTTATGACTATACTCATCATACTCTCCTCAGTGATTGCTTCACCCCTATGCATTAATTCAGTCCTGGTTGTGTTAAGTTTTAACAGGTGTTCACTCATGGGGACCCCTGGTCTAAGTCTGGCAGAACGGAATTCTCTGGAAATCCTAGTTGTGGTTGCTCTACTTCTGCTGTAAAAAAGGTTATAAAGTTTTGTATCACTTCATGCACTGTCATGTGATTCCCTATGCTTGGGTACAAAGTTGGAGAAATACTGGTTAACAAAATACAAAAAGCCCTGTGGTGGTTACAGTCAATTTCAAAAGTCCAGGGTTTCTGGGATGGATCTGATATTAGGAAAAGTAAGTTTTCTTTCATAAAAACTATCTGCAGCTGTTGACTCCACTCTAGAAGATTTTTTCCATCTATTTGCAGTTTGGGAAAGTTGACAGGTAAAGCCCCAGAATTGTTAGAATGGTTACTTACAGAGGGTAGTTGTCCATGGTTTTGTGAGTGAGGGAACTCACAATATGGCATGGGAATGGCTATTCTGTACTGACTTGTCTCTATGTTCTGACTTATCTCTATGTTCCTCCCTTCTCTTCCTGCAGGTGGCGTCTGAGCATGTGCGAGGCCCATTTCATGCTGGAGGCTGTCTGGAGGGGAGCTCATGGCTGCAGTTCTCAGGCCTAGGCCTAGGCCTGCTGGTGGAGCCCTTGACTCACCCCCTGGTGGGTCTGGATGCATCGTGGGACCCTGGAAGTCGCTGCTGGGCTGTGTAGTCCCCAGCGAAGAATGGCTGGAGGCTCGGGATCGAAACGGTCGTAAGTCGAGGACTTTCGAGGATCGGTGGCGCGGCGGCAGCGGCGGTGGCAATGGCTGGTCCTGATCCGGATGTGCTGGCCCCTGGTCAGTTGGAGAAGCCTGGCAGAGGTCGCAGAGCAGGTAGGTAGCTGGCACGTCTCTCTTCTCTTGGATCCCTCGTAGTTAGTGAGGCGGGTGGTGAGTTCGAGTCCTGCCTTTATTCTGCTCCATAGGCGGTCGGGGTTTCTTGTTCGTCGTGGAAGCACGTTGCCCCCTTTGGTAGTGATAGGGTTGGTGTCTCGAAGCTGGTGGTCACTCTGGTGCCTTCTTGGCCCTCGAGGTTTTCCTTGCAGCTTGTGGTTGGTGCAGGAGGCTTGAATGCGGAGCCAAAGGCTGCTGCTAGAGTCTCCATTGCTTTTTCTATCTCGAGCACGCTAGGCAAGTTCTGATTTACTTGGACTTGTCTATTGCAGTTGTTTTCTGGATGCCCCCCCATTTGTTTTGGGGCCTTGGCTGTTTCCAGCCATTGGATTCAAATCCCGGCTTCCCATTGGTTGCTGGCCATTCCAAGATGGCCGCCGGAAATTGGCGCGAAACTGAGCCCCTCTATGTCTGGGGCCTCTGCGAGGGAATCCCCTTCCCTTTCCCTTACCGGGCTGGCGTCTTCTTGGGTGCTCATCGCTGCTCCATGAGTTTCTAGGAGGCCTTGGAGTTTCGTGATGAGCTCTCCATTGCTAATGGGCGCTTCCATCATTTTCAGCAGGGCCATTCTCAGTTCGTCTTCCTCTCGTGGCCCTTCTCTTTCGTGGTCATCTGCTTCCTCCCGTGGTCTCTCTTTGCAGAGGAGTGGGCCCGTCTCGATGTCCTGTCCACTTTCAGCTGGGGTGGCTCTTGGCATGGCACCTTTGGGTGTCAGTTGAGCAGCCATCCTCTTGGTGAATGCCCTGGTGTTTACTCTGCTCTTCTTATCAGAGTGAACGGCTTGTTCAGTCATTCTTTAGAGTTATGGGTAACCATCCTCTGCTGCCAATTTGTTAATGCTGGATGGATCTAACCCAATAACTCACAAGAGACAATGGTATCTCTTCATTGATTCTTTATTCTAGGCCTGGAGTCCTCCTAGGCCCAATTCAGGGTAAAGGTCACTGACCTCTGTCTTGTCTTTGCAGGCACACATCTGGAACTGCTGGATGCCCACGTGTAGGACCCTTTTATATACCAGGGGAGGAGTCTGAGGTAAGGGGGTATGATGGGATATGGGGAGGTGGCAGCCCCTACCTGGGAGAATTAGACATTTATCCTGACATTGGAGAAGGTTGTTCCTAGTTGCCACTCATGAGGCATCTGTGAGGGGATAGACCTTTCATTGAACTAAATACTGCAACCCCAATGTAGTCAGGAATCTAACTGTCAGGGTTCCAAGTAACACCCCCAATGAAAGAAGACTCCAAGGCTAGAAGTTCCTCAAGGTTCCATTTTATTAGAGATATCATATTGGCACATCTGGGAAAACCCGAATCTGAAAGCTTCAAGGTTTGTTCCACCCAAAAGAAAGTCCAAGTCCCTGCCCAGCACCCACATGTCCATCACATGGTCCAATTAAAGCATTGTCCCAACTGGAGATTCCTCCCAGTCACGCCACTCCAGATGCAGGCAGGATGTCCTTGACTCTCAGAGAAAAGAATGTTATTATGGCTAGATACCTCTACTACTCCATGCAATCCCTCCTCCCAGTTTCCCACAGCACTATGCATGGCAGCCCTGAAGATCCAAAGAAAAAGATGGCCTCCAGGGCTGACAGGCTTCCCTCCCTCAACCAATGATCATGTCCTGCAATGAGAGGAACATAGGGTGTTAATTCAAACATTCCCCAACCCCCTCTCTTAATGGGTGTCCCCCCCATATCTCCACAGGTTCAGGTAATGAGACCACTGACGACTGAGTGTGGGCTTTCATTGCCGGTTTCAGCAAGCTGCTGTGAAATATTGGGTACATTTTACCCAAAAATTGGGGTAACTTTAGCTCCACCATTACAGGATCAATTACTTGCCCCAATAGGGAACGGGCCCAGAAACTTTGGGCCCAGTTTTCAACATGGAACCTTTAATTTTAAATACTTGGTTGACAGGTACACCCTCTCTCCCACCTGGCTTCTGCGGAAACTGTTTTTTATCTGCCTGCACCTTCTGGGTCTCTATGGCCTTCTGTAGAGCCATTTTCATAGCTCCCCACACCCCGTGCAGAGTGTCTACCATTCTTGTGGCCCGATCAGCATAGGGGTCTCTCAAGGATATTCCAGTATGGGAACGAAGTCTTGCCTAGGTGCCATCCAGAAGAAGATAAACCAGGGGTGAAATGCTACCAGTTTGGACTGGTTCAGTCGAACCAGTAGCGATGGCGGCGGGTGGTTCAGAGAACTGGTAGCGATGGCAGTACGTTTTATTTTGTGCCTGTTCACCGCCCTGAGTCCTTCGGGAGTAGGGCGGTATATAAATTTAATAAAACATAATCATAAACATAAACATATCTTCCCAACTCCATTCAATCCCCCTTCCCAGTTTCCCACAGCACTAAATGTGGCAGCTCTGAAGATCCAAAGTAAAAGATGGCTTCCAGGACTGACAACCAACCCTCCTATGACAGCGACAATAATGGGGACAGGGAGGGGACCCGTATGGCTCTTTGTCATCTCTGTGACCATAACGGCCCCCCAATTGGGTAAAGGGGGTAAATATAAGGCACTAATTGACTTGAAGTGTACCCGATGCCTGATCACCAAGCGGTAGCCACAGCCCTGGGGATAGGGATCAAGGTGTTGGCCAAGCCCAGAACTGAACTCCCCCATAGTCCGTAGTCCAGCACCAAACTCCCCCTTGGGTTGACACTCCCGCAGTTCAGCATCTAATTCCACAATTGCCTGGTATCAGTCTCCCAGCCGGTGCATTAGGCCCCGATAGGCACACACCTGGCATAAAGCCGACGTGGCGCAGTGGTTAGAGTGCAGTACTGCAGCTACTTCAGCTGACTGCTAGTTCAGCAGATCAGCAGATCAAATCTCACCGGCTCAAGGTTGACTCAGCCTTTTATCCTTCCGAGGTGGGTAAAATGAGGACCCAGATTGTTGGGAGCAATATGTTGTTCATGTTGTCTTTGTTGTAAACCGCTCAGAGTCCTCGGAGAGTGGGCAGCATAGAAATATGAATAATAAATAAATAAATAAATAAATAAATTCCGGTCCAGGCCCGCCTTAAAATGATGAACCAGCAGGCACTCAGGCCAACACCTCTCCTTACCAGCAGCCCTGTGGAAGTCCCGGATGTAGTCTCCCGCTGACCAGCCTCGTTGTCGCAGCACAATTGTCAGGTTCCAAGTAATGCTCCCATTACAAATCAAACTCTGAGGCATTGCATTTCCTCAAAGAACAAATGTATTTAGATACATCATCTTGGCACTATTGGTGGAAAGCCAGTACTGAAGATTCCTGTGCTTTCCACCCCAATATAAGTAATAAGTTCTCAATTTTCCAAAACAAACTGTCACATTGTCCAACCAAGATGAAAGCTGGTTGCTTGGCGACTTTTCTCCTCCTCCAGTCAGCCAGCCATTGGAATGTACTTGACTCATCGGCTAGCTATGTTGTTTTGACTGAAGACTATCATCCTCAGCTCTCCCCCATTCAGCTCCAAACTGTCAAACTGAATTCATTCCCAAGGATACAAACAATCCCACACCCCAATCAAATTCAGGCTTGACAGGGAGAAGCTTCCCCTCCGCCTGGTGTACTTTGGTCACATCCTCAAACCAACCTCATAGTGCCTCCAGGAAGAGGCCAATGTCTGCCAATTCACTAGCGTGCTCATTATGGAAGGTTGCTATCCACTTGGCCACCTCTCCACCCAAGACTGCCATCACCATCACACACTGCGACGGGTAGAAGTGGCCATAGCAGTCCAGGTGGCTAATCACCTGTCTTAGAAAAAGAGCCAGGTTCTTAGGATCCCCATCGAACGTGACTTTCAGGTTAGGGGGTTCCATGACCAGTGGATAAAGCCAGTATCTCATAGGCCACCTGAGCCCTTGCAGTCCTTGATTGGCTTGGCATTGACCTGGGACCCCAGGTGCTGTTAGGGGCCCCTGCCGGCCTGGCTGTGGGGGTCGCATGTCACGGGGTCCAGTACTGGGAAACTCCTTCCCCTGTTCTGTTGATTGCTCCAGTCAACAGTCCTGGTCTTGCTGTCATGGACCCCAATTATAAACCCCACCTTGGGCCACTTATTGGCAGGATCTCCTGTGATCTGTATGGGGCAGCATCCAGTCGAAGCTTCAGACTGGCCAATCAAACCCTAGAAGGTGGTACATCACTCGGCTTCAGCTCCTGCTGCCATGCTAGCCAGGTAGCTGCCTCGCCCCCCAGGTCCCATGGCTGCTAGGTAGAGGCATCACAAAAGCTGGCATCCCCGAACCACTTTCGCAGAATTTCCATAGTTTGGCTGCCAGGCACGGTTGAGTAGCTGACCTCATTGTCATCCTCACCAGTCAACCTTCATTCCCCTCACAGAGTCAAAAGCACCCTGGAATAACTGGGGTGTGGTAGCTGGGGTCCAGATGAGCTGTACCCTGCAGCTGTCCCTGTGGCAGTGATGCAACATCCTCCTTCAGACGCACATCTGCCAGCGCTGGCTCTCTACCTTCTCCAGCATGAGGACCACCTTCGCCACCTGGTCCTCCAACATTATTAATATTTTTATTATTATTTATTGAATTTGTATACCGCCCTACTCCCGAAGGACTCAGGGCGGTGAACAGCCAAATAAAATTATTTTTAAAAAACCATTAAAATACAATTAAATAATTGGCCCAGAAAACAAAATTTAAAACACCCCAAATTCATAAGACAAATTTAAAATTTAAAATTTTAAAATTTTTTAAAAAACAGTTTTAAAGAGAGGTTAGGCCAGGCAGGCCTGCTGGAAAAGAAATGTTTTGATGGCATGGTGGAAAGCGCGCAGGTCCGGGATTCTCCGTATCTCTGGGGGGAGCTCGTTCCAGATGGCGGGTGCCTCCACAGAGAAGGCTCTTCCCCTGGGTGCTGCCAGTCGACACTGTTTGGCCAAGGGCACCCTGAGAAGCCCCTCTCTATGGGAGCATACTGGTCAGTGAGAGGCTACTGGTGGCAGAAGGCGGTCTCGTAGATACCCTGGTCCTAAGCCATGGAGCGCTCTAAAGGTGGTAACCAAAACCTTGAAGCGCACCCGGAAGAATACCAGGAGCCAGTGCAGCTCGCGCAGGAGGGGGTCACATGGAGCACCCCATCACTCCCATAACCACCCGCACGGCCACATTCTGGACCAGCTGGAGCCTCCGGGTGCTCCTCAAGGGGAGCCCCATGTAGAGACCATTGCAGTAGTCCAGGTGGGAAGTGACGAGGGCATGAGTGACTGTATTTAATGAGTCCCGATCCAGAAAGAGACACAATTGGCGAATCAGGCAAACCTGATCAAACGCCCTCCTGGCCACAGCTGTCAAGTGCTCTTCTAAAGACAGCTGTGAGTCCAGGAGGACCCCCAGGTTGCAAGCCCTCTCCATGGGGGCCAACAACTAGCCCCCAAAAGTCAGTGATGGCACCAACTGACTATATTGGGATGTCAGAAGCCACAGCCACTCAGTCTTGGATGGGTTGAGCCTGAGTCTGTTCCTCCCCATCCAGATCCGTACAGCCTCCAGGCACCGGGGCATCACTTCAAGGGCATCATTGGGGTGGTCCGGGGTGGAGATGTACAGCTGGATGTCATCAGCGTACTGGTGATACTTCACCCCGAAACCACGGATGATCTCACCCAGCGGCTTCACATAAATATTGAACAGAAGGGGCGAGAGGACCAACCCTTGTGGCACCCCACATACAAGGGGCCTCAGGGTCGACCTCTGCCCCCCTGCCAACACTGACTGCAACCGGTCGGAGAGGAAGGAGGAGAACCACCACAACACGGTGCCTCCAACCCCTAACTCTTCCAGCCAGTGCAGCATGATACCATGGTCGATGGTATCAAAAGCCACTGAGAGGTATAATAGGACCAGGACAGAGGAGCAACCCCTGTCCCGAGCCCTCCAGAGATCATCGACCAATGCGACCATTGCCATTTCCGTGCTGTACCCAGGCCTGAAGCCCAACTGGAATGGATCCAGATAAGCCGATTCATCTAAGTACTGAGGGAGCTGTCGTGCTACCACACTCTCAACAACCT